TTGATCAACTGACAAATAAATATATTGAAATTAGATTCAAATAGCATTCTCACATTTCAAGATTCGGGTATTTTTATTATTTTAAAGAGATACATATATATTAGCAGTTATTTGAATGTTAAGTTAATAGAGAAGCACAGTCATCAAGTCGAATTGCCAAATCAGTTTTACATCTTATTTTTCGCGTAATTATTTATGAATGATATCAATTTATTATTTAAAGTTTAAATTGAAAAAAAAAGAACATGATTTTATTTTATTATTATTGTTTATGAGCACAAGCCAGAAAATTTGGTTGATTATAATAAAAGTCGATTGTTTTATCAGTACATGCTCCTCCTCCAGTTGAACCAACATGTGGACAATGTATAGATGGTAATAAAGGTACAAAATATGTATGAATAAAACGGTAAATAACATTTTCTTGATCTCCTCTTGGGTGTAGGTGTGGGCATGAGTGCTCCTTTGTAACTAGCACCCAGACACCCACACCCCAGCTGATTTTTTTTCTTAGGATAGACCACAGATTGAAGTTTTTATTCATGTTGAAACAGTCCATACATATTAAATTAGCAAACTGTTCTTTTTTTCTTATATTTATTTGTTAATAAATGTCAAATATAAAGTAATCAAAAAAAAAAGAAAAAGTCAATATTCTTCAATTTTTTGTCGATCTTTTTCAATTTGTAAAACTTTTTTTTGTTAAACAATTTGAATTTGAATCATCGGAAAATGTTCCTTAAATAGAATTATTTGTTAATTGACCAAAAAAATAGATTTTTTTCATTTCTATTAATAAGAATATTATCTTGATTCTCATTTGAATTATTTATTTTTGATATTGTTGAAATAGTTGTTAAAAATTTACCATCTTCAGTTTGAGTTCGAGTCGTTCGTACTGTATTATTTGCACCTAGAATTTATTTATTTAAAAAAAAAAGAAACAAATTTCAATATGATCCATATGATTTCAATTCAATTAGATTTAATAAATGTTATAAATAATATTATTATTTTATTAATTTATTTAATATGTTAATTACTTGTTTATTTGAATAGGTTTATTTCAAATATTTACATAATATGAGAGAAAAAACAAATGTTTGAATAAATAAATAAATTTTATATTATTCTATGTCAATATGATGTTGAATAATATATTCAATTAAGTTAAATAAAATTGGTCGAGATATAAAAATAGTTCTTATGTATTTATTTAATTGTAGACAAATATTCTTATTTGTTTTATATTATATAAAAGAGAAGAATCTAATAAATAAATTCTATTTCGATTAATTCAACTAAGATTTGATTTATTTGACTAGAGTTTTTTAATGAAAATTTTTCAAATCTAATCAAAGATTTAATTCCAACTTAGATTTTATTAAAAAGAAAAATTCTATATCGAAAATTCAATAGAGA